GGTCTGTGGAGCCAGGTGAGGAAACTAGCGTCAGTGACGGAGGCCGTCAGGAACAGCTGTGGCCCAGGTTGGCTGGGGGGCCTTGCTGGCTCCAGCTGGGATCTGAGACCTCTTGTACGTGATGTCCGAGGAACAAGTGAACCATGTGAGAACTGTCATCAGGAGCTGTGGGCTGTGCTTGATCAAAGTTTTTATAGACGTGGGCACGTGCGCATGCGTGTGCGTGTGTGTGTATTTGTGTGTGTACGTGGGAAGCTGGGGGAGGAGGGGGACAGGGAAGGATATGGAGAGGCAGGAGAACAGGCTGTGGGCTGGGCCGAGGGAGGGAAGGATGAAGAGGGGAAGAAGTCAGGACAGCGAGAGGCTGGCTGGCTGACATCTGCATGCGACTGGCCCTGCGCGGGGTGTCACACCGAATCGCACTAAATGCCCCCGGGCCTTGGAGCCGGACTCAGTCAGTGTGTGTCTCCATTTTAGGCGGAGGCTGAGGCTCCTGCCCCAGCACACACCCCACAATCCATGCTCCTGCTCTGATCCCCCTTAGCTGCCCTCCTCCATGGGCGCTCAGAACCAAGACTTGGAAATCTCCCAGATCAGGTGTCCCTCCCGCTCCCATCCCACCCACCCAGTCCTCCAGTCATGCCGATTCTACCTCCCAAACATTTCGGCCTCTCCCGCCATGTTTCTCCTGCCCTGGTTTAGCCCCATGTGACTCTTGCCTCCATGACCTCACCAGCCTTCCCTCTGTTTTCCCTGCCTCCCCACTTGCTTCTCTCACCACCACCATCACGCTGGCACCAGAAGGAGCTGAACGTGTTCGGGAGGTGAGGCTCCATCCTCAGGGCCAGGTCCTGCTTCAGCTCCTGCAGGCCCTGGCTGGCCACAGGGGCTCCTTCCACCAGGAAGGCCCTCCCCTCGTCTTCGTAGACAACTCTGTCACCTTCAAGACTTAACTCAGGCTCTGTCTCCCTGTGGAAGCCATCCATGAACTCAGGCCCTTCCCCTGGCCTCTGACACAGGGCTGTGTGTAATCCTCCATTGCAGTACTTTCTACATCACACTGAAATGCTTTGTTCCTACATCTACCGCTGACTGGGGCTCCTCTTGGGCAGAAACTGGGTCTTGCACCTCTTTATATAGGCAGAGTGTCCTAATAGGTGCTTAATATGGTCCGCTGAGATGTGCACAGCAGGAGGGGAGCAGGTATGGACACCTGTCCTGTTCTGACAGAGGAAGTGGCAAATCCAGGGGAAGGGGAAGCCCAGGGCAGGAAAGCAGTGTGTGCGTGTGTGGGGAGGAGATGGGGATTTAGGTTTTGCCCCAAAAGCCCCACCTTAGCCTGGCACATCCCACCTGTCTCCTTCCTGGCCTGTCCTTCCTCTCCCTCTTCGTGGTAGTAGACAAAGGTGTAGAAGATGGGAGAGGAACACCGGCTAAATGACCGGTTAATTAAGAGTGGAGGTGTTTTCATTACTATATATAAAACAGATAACTAATAAGAACTTACTGTATAGCACAGGGAACTCTACTCAGTAGTCCGTAATGATCTATATGGAAAAAGAATCTAACAAAGAGCGGATATATGTATACGTATAACGGATTCACTTTGCTGTACCGCAGAAACTAACGCAACATTGTAAATCAACTATACTCCAATAAAAATTAATTTAAAAAAAGATTTTTTTTCTTTCTTTCTTTCTTTTTTTTTACCTGTATGCATCCCTGAGCAAGCCCCAGGCAATGACGTCTCACTGTGGCACACGGTGGGTGCTTGATAAGTATAGCTCGCTTTCCCTCACCTCTCTGATCAGTAGGTAGAGACATTGACTGTAGCAATAATCGTGCCAGGCCTCAAGCTGCAGCCAGGCAGAACTAGCTGAGCGCCACACTCTTCCAGGAATAGATGGACTCCCTAAGGAATGATTCCAACCTTTCTGTTCTCAAGAACCTTTTACATCCATCCTCCTGTGTGTCCTACGTTTGTCTCACTAGACGAACTGCACTTACTAAATAAGAATTAGTTAATATGGAGAAAATATCTTCCAGAAAAAGGGCACCTGACTTCTCAACCTGGATATTCTGACTTGGGGACATTTCGATGTGGTCTGTATAGCAAATCATTAAATGGTCTGCTTCTTTGATGCAATGTTATGTGACCAGTAGACATTATTGTCCAAGTCTCAAGACTCATCCAGGGTCAAGGATGAGGTGAGGGTCAGGAATATCTGTAAGTCTTTGTTGGGTTAAAAAACAAGGAGTCAACAGCAACAACAAAAACCCAAAGGCAACATTGTTTGGCTTTGATTCTTCCATTTTGATATGGTGCTTCTCAGGCCAGTTCCAAAAAGTCCCGATCAGAAGTCCCCTTTACAAATGTGGGTACTTCGAAGTGTCCTGCTTCAACAGAGAAACGGCTCCTGCGCGTGTTTCGGAGTGTTCAGCGGGCGGTGCTGGGGGCTGGGAGCTAGTCTCAATATTCCAAAGAGAGAAACGGAAACCGTTCTCTGATTTGGGCTGAGCTTGTAGCAACACGGGTGGTTATACCGTGGCAATTTACACAGATCAGAAACCTGGCTAGACTTAGATGTGGCTGTGATTAATAAAAAATAGGAAAATGAATTATTACTTAATAAGTGTAGTTTGGCAGGCAAAACCTTTCAAAAGGCAGGGCCTAGCTGAAGAAGTCAGAAAAAAGTCCTTGGAAGCAGAGAAGTCAGGAACTACGGCTGTTCCTGGAAATGCTGTCTGGCCACTGCCTGACACCACTCCAGGGGATTTCGCTGCCGTCACCTGGGCTGGGGAGCACCTGCCACGTGCAGGGCATGTGCAAGGCACTTGTACGTGATCTTTGCAACCAACTGGGCAGGTGTTAGCAACCCCCAACCTTCGCCTTTTACAGGTGGGGAAACAGAGTCTCAAGAGATTAAATAACCCACCCGAGTTTGGAAGTGGTCTGATTCACACTATCTCAGGAGGAAGCAGCTCAAGAGGACCTCCATAAGTCGCAGAGGACTTCGAGCCAGTCTAGCCTGGGAGTTGCCCTGGGCAGGGATGGGACAATGGGTTTTGCTGGGGGTAAGTGTTGAGGTCTCTGTCTGCCTTACAGCTCCTCTGCTTTCTTCTTCACATTGCTTTTTGTATGTGGGGATCTGCACCAAGGGCTGGGCTGGCCACTATCCCTTCAGGCGGTGGGGCCTCCCCTCCCAGGCTCTCACTTCTGGAGGCTTCCTGGAGGTGGGTGCTGCATGATTCCTATGCCCCCTTCCATTTCCTGTTTCCTGAGTGGGAGTTTTAATGGAAAGAACCAACAGACTTTGAGACTGAGGGTCCTGGGTTCAAATTCCAGCTTTGTCACTGACTGAGTGGCCTTAGATCTATTGCTAAGCTTCCTGACACGTTTCTTCATACGGAATCAAGGGAATATGGATAAAAACAATAGTAATAACATCTACCTCATTGTGAAAAGGAGGAGGAATACCTAGTGGGTCCTCAACAGATATGCATCCCCTTCTCTCTAGGACAGTGGATGACCCCTGGAAATTCAGCCAGGTCGGAAAGGGAGGCCCGGCCTGCTTAGTATGGCGTGGCCAAGGGTAGCCGGAGGTCTTGGCCATTTACTAGGGATGTGTGGGACCTGGAGCAGCTAATCTGATTGCAGTCAAGCCTTGTTATTGCATTCCTGCCCAGAATGTCATTTAAAAAGCACTCAGGGCTTTCCCCGGAACGCATTTACACTGAAGTCCCAGGGGTGGGAATGTGCGGAAAACAGGGCAACCTGAGAAGCCCCTTTCCTTCCCAGGCGGCTGAGGATGTGCCGGGGGTTGGGGGCCGCGGGAGGGGAAGCAGCTCACTTCCCACTGTGTTCAGCCTCTAGGGGGCATCTGCACAAATGACAGCAAAATTATGATGCTTCCTGTTTACACAGCCCAGCCGTGTGCAGTGGGAGGAACCTCTGCAGAGCTGCGCCTCCGAAGTCTGGGCTTGGAGGCCATTTCTTGACCACGTGGCCGTGGGAAGCTCCTGACGCTCTGAGCCTCCGTTTTCTCAACTGTAAAATGAGGACTGCGGCACTGGCCTTGCCCACGGCATCAAGCTGAGCGAGGATGACAGCATGTGCTGTGGTTAACCCAGCGGCTGCATTGGCGTCATCTGGGAACTTGCTAGAAATTCAGATTCTCGGTGAATGAATGAATATGGATGGATACCATGAGTACAGTGAGTACCACTGGTGTCTCCCTCCTCAACCTGCATCCAATAAATGTCAGTGTTTTGTCATATTTGCTTCATTAATGTAAAAATGTTTAGCATGAAAAAAAGAAATTCATATTCTTGGACCCCAGTCCAGACCTATAAAATCATACACTCCGCGAGTGGAACCAGCAATCTCTGTTTTAACTGGCCTTCCTGTCATTCCGATGCCCGCTCAAGGTTAGGAGCCACTGGTCTAGGCCTTGCCATTAGCTTCGCTTAGCTGAGTGCCCGTTGGAGTCGGGCCTCCCTCCAGCCTGGCCTGGCTCTGGTGGAACATTGTGGGGTTGGGCCTGGGATAGGAGTTCCAGAATAGTTGCTTCACTTGCAAACAATGAAGGCCCAGGAAAGGAGAAATCATCTTGCACGTGTAGCATACTTTTGTCTCCCAAACATTCTGACATTCATTGCCTTATTTGAAAAGCATGAAGTTCAAAGAACAGCTCACTATAATTACAGTTATTAATAAAGCTAGAGAATGTTCTGAAGCTGGTGCATGCATGCGTATCATCTCCACACATGAGTCTGGGCTCCTTGAGGACACAGGACGCAGCTTCTTTTCTTGCCATACTCCATTATCCCAAACCTCCCCAGCTCCAGCCCTTACACTCCAATGTGGGCCAGAGTCTGTGGCCTCGGAGCCTTGGCCTGCCCGGGCACCCCAGGACAGCAGGCATGCACCCAACGGCAGGACCCCAGTCCTCTTCGGGAGGGTGGATCTGCCCCTTGCCCTCCCCCTCCCCCATACCCACCTGTAGGTGTCGGTGGCTGGCACCTTCCAGGTCTGGATGCCCTTCAGGGGGCCCTCGCTCCCCACCACCACGCTCAGGTTGGAGTTCCGGTAGGCATTGTTGCACTGGGCCTGCGTCGGGCCGTGGGGCCCACTGGCCCCGCATGTGGTGAACAGCCAGTGAACTGCACACAAGAGGAAAGGCGATCACTCACTTGGCCTGGCCCTCCCTCCTCCGTGGGCCTCCCTCTGCTGCCTCTGAGCTGTCCGCTCCATGAGGCCAAACCCACGTTCCAAGATGGTACCCATGTCGGGGCAAGGAACACTAATCAGTCATTTGAACTGGAAACTTCTGTCGAAGATCTACTGTGTGCCAGGCCCTGGACCAGATAGATACTAAGGGAGAGACACAAATGGAGCAGACTTGGAGCCTGGCCTAAAGAAGCTTACAGCCTACTAAAGGGAGACCCAAAGGGATGCAACAAGACAGGACAGTAACAGAAAAAGAGCCTCAAAAGGGTCTGGCTAACATCGCACTGTGAAGGTTCTGAGGAGGGAGAGAAGACCCCTCTCAGGTGAGACAGGCGGGCGGTGGCCAGGTCCCCTCCTGGTTTCTCAATGAGTCCAGCACAGTGCTGGGCAAAGAACAGGTGCTCAATCTGTGCTATTGTGACTGGATCTAACCCGCTTCCGAAAGTTTGATATCTGCATATAGGATCTTCTTAGCTTGGAGAAGATCAGAAGAGTAAAGTGGACACAGAGTCAGCTCCATGCCCTCCTCCCCCACATTGGTTGGGTTTGGAAATGCATTAGAAGCAGCTCTCAGGCTCTATGTAACAGTGTAAAAAATGGGAAACAGGTCACATCTGCCTTTGGTGCACGTTCTTTTCCAAGCCCCTCACTGCTTCCTGGTGCTCTGTCCTCACCCGGAGCACCCAATGCTCTTAGGTGGCCTTCTGGGGGTGCCTCAGGAACACCCAGCACAACCCCACCCCTCCACTGCCACTGGGCCATTCCTTCCAAACTTTCTATCTTTGAGCCTGGCTGGACCTTGGGGAATTGTCAGATTTCATCCTGGCAGGAATTTTAACATGTTTACAACCTATAAAAACTTCCAAAAAAATGTGCTCTTGATAAATCACTTTTACTTAAAATAAAAAAATCTCATTATAAGATTGAAGAAATTATTTCCCTTTAAAGTGATTAAGTCGAACTCTACCTACAGAAAATTATAAAAAAATTAATTTGGGTGTATATAGTTTTGTTTGCTGAAGCATAAAATTCTTTTGATGACTTTCAGCTAACTTGATGCAAAAATGAAAGGTTAATTTGGGTTGCTAATTATTAGCAATCAGATTGAGATTACACTGGGCAGTCTTGATAATCTGAAAACCGGGCTGGCTGTGGTGGGCTTTTGTGACACTGCCCCAGAGCTGAGGTCGGGAGACCGAAGCTCTCGTTGGGGTTCTCATGCATACAGCTACTCAATACTGAGCACTCAATACCTTTCTTGGCTTCATTTTTTTGAATGAAGATGTTGGTTTCTATTTGGTTTCTGAAGGTTGTTTCAAGGGCAAGAAGGTGACGAATCCATTCATCTTTGGTGTGAATGGCTGATTGTTAATTTTCTCATCTATTTGTATTATAAGGGGTAACCTGTTCATTCAAAGGACTAACTCTTTACTGGAGGCATTTCAGCAGAGCTGTCTTGGCCAGATGTCCTTTCACCCTCTCCAGTGTTCAAATCACATGTGTGGGCTGCGCCAGAGGGGAGAAGCGGAAAGGATTCAGGCTTTGAAATCAGCACGAACATCCGAGTTTGGGGGCAGCCTCATCATTGTTGATTATGGGACCTTGATCATGTTCCATTGTCTGTGAAAGGGGCTGGGTTGCCATGAGGATTAAAGAAAGCGAGGGGTATGAAAGGTCACTGTAAAGTCCAAAACTCTAAAACTGTGAGCTGTGTCGCTGACGCCTGCCTGCACCCAAGGCCGGTGCTGTTCCTGACAATGGGAAACGCGGACAGGGTTTCTGTGTATAGGGATCCCTCCGCCAACAGCACCTGGGAATTTAAACTCGGTGAGTTGGGGATGACGATAGGAGCAGGGAGAAAAGAACAGCTCAGAAAAGAAGTTAAAAAGTACACTCCTCCCCGTGGTCTCTAGCTCCCTGAAGCCTATTCTGCAGGTTCAGTCTGTGCCTATAGCGAGCAGCCTGGGTTTGGGGGCAGCCTTATCAATCTGGGGCAGAAGGATGACGGTTCACTTAGTTAGTTCAGTCCTGGAAATTAAAGAATTTAGACATAAATATAAATATGTATTTTTTTTTCCCCTGAAGAGTGTGCTGAGGAAGACAGTTCAAGGAAGGCGTGGGCTTGGCACCCTACTGGAGCATGTCCTTCAGCAGGACCCTCTTTTAACGTCAGCCTCGCTTAACATTGCTCTGAAGGTTCTGAGATGTTCCCAGAGAGGGTGGGCTTCTACTTCTTGGCCAAGTTGGGCATCTGACGGGGTAGGAAGAGGGGAATGGGCTTTGGATCCAGATGGGCCAAATTTTCTCATTGGATTTTACCTCTGATGAGGTATGAGAACTGGGGTAAACGCTACATCCTCTCTGAGCCTCAATTTCTTAATCTGAACAAGTGGAGGTAATAACACCTAGTACTTAGACATGCTGTGGAGTATTCAATGATGACCTAAGCAAAGTGCTTAGAACAACATTATGCATTAGAGACGCATAGTGAATATAGTTTAAAAAGTGTGTAACTTCCTGCTCAGTTTTTGACTGTAAGGAAGCAGAGACACCCAATCTCAAGATTTATGTTCCCCAGTCCATAAAGAAGGGACTCTAAGGGCTGTTTCTCAATAAAGGGACCAATATTTTCCCAACTCAGTGGACATATATTAGTCTCAGGTGGTTTCTATGCACAAAATTCTGTTTTCATTTTCAGCAGCTGCTGATGGAGAGGTCCAGAGCGGGAATTCTTTCTAAAGTAGATTCCATGGGAATAGAGGATTTGCCATCCCAGGTCAAACCCATGATTCACCCAGCTGGAATTCTGTTGCTCCCACAGCCTTCGAGGCATGGTGGTCCTCCCTGCTCCCTTGGATGGCTCTGACTCTCGTAAATCTGCCCAAAGTTGTTTGGAATTAATTTCTGTGTCCCACCAGCAGCACTTCTTGGGGGTATGGATTCTCTGAGTTTATTGCCCATTGTGAAGGGCTGTCCTGCTTCTGATGTGTGTGGGCTTGTCTTACTAAAGCTTCATCCTGTCGGATCTCTTTGCTCATTCTGTTTGGAATCTCATAGACATCACAGAATGCCACAGCAAGATGGGACCTTGGAGATATCTGAATTCAGTGGTTCCCAAACCACCTAAGGACCTTTAAACATACAGATTCCAGGGCCCTGAAGATTCAGATTAGTAGATGCTAGGTTGAGGCCACGGTGGAGGGAGGACAATATTTGCATTATATGACAACTTTTCCAGGAGAGCCAGCCTGCTGTAAACAGAGTGGATAATCAGTCAAGCTAGGAGTTAAACATAGATCTTCCAAGTTTAAGTTCAAGACTTGAAAAGGTGCTACAGTCACCATGAAATCCTCATGGAACCTTTCTGCAAGTCTGTTTTTTTTTTTTCCCCCCTTTTTAAATCTATGAGCCCAGAGCTCAGTTAAACCCGACCAAGTTTGCTCAGGACCAGAGAGTAGGCAGGCCACCATGAGGGGAGAGGAGTCTGGTCAGGGTATGTGGTAGGTAGACCCTCAGCCTCAGAAAGTCCCACAGTAGCTTAGCCTAGCAGAGGGTGCACTTTAGGGGGTCATGGGCGCAAACCAGGGAAAACAGGTGCCCAGTGTCAGGACTCTGGCCCCCCGAGAGGCCATGGGGAGCCAGGGGGTGTCAAAAGGGAATCTGGTAACTGGAATGTTTACAAGATCAGCAAGCAGACATATGAGAGGGACTGGGTAATAAGCAACAAGGGAAAATCTTGGTTTTTAAAGAGAAGATCAAGGTCACAGTGAGACCAGCAGTGAGGTGAGCTTGATGCCAAGTTGCCAATCAGAGTTCAAGGGGCCTCACATTTCCCCAGCTGAGAGTCTACACTGATCCCTGAGGCTCTGTGGAGCTGTAGGAGGATTAAATGGCCCCCAAGGAGGAGCCTGGATTGGGAGCAGGCGAGGGAGGAAACCCGGCTCTTTCCTCTTCTCTTACTTAAAAAACAAACAAAAAAACAACCATTGTATTAAAACTCATTCATGAGAGAGAAAAGACAAGAACTGCTTTATCTTGTTCTTAATTATACCACCCACTGGAAACCTAGTTTAATACTCACAGCTATATTGTATAAAGAACCCACAAACATCAAAATACTGATTGGTTATAGACAGCTGAGGAAAGAAAAACCCATTAAGCACTGGGTTTCATTTTTAAGTATATTGCAGCCCCCTCCAAGAAGAAACAGATCAATTAGTAATACACAGCACAATGTTAAAAAAATAGGCTAGGTAGTGATCGTGCTGGTTTTATTACTGTTGCTAAGCCGTCTCATCTGCTCAATTGAATGCAAAGAAATAAAACGTGATACAAAGGAAAATAAGTTCTCAACTATCATTACTAATCACAATAATAAGGATCTGCCTCACATCAAAGGCCTACATGGTTGTGCCACAGAAGGGTGCTCAATGGCTCTTGTGGATCTTATATACCATTTTTATTCTGATCCACGGAGCTCAATTTTATCCATATCTGTTGACTGAGCTGAACTTCATGGGAGCTGTGGCGTATTGAACCATTTTGATGGCCACTGTAGATCTTGTTAAGCAAAATAATGACCAAAAATCCAAGTAAATATAATCATTCACCATCCATAAATGTATATGACACTATTCTTTATTATAAATTGGAGAAAGTAGCCCTTCTTGTGAGTACATGGTGAAAATTAATAAGTTGTTCTCCTTATTAGGGCAAAATGAAAGCGATATACATATCGTTGCCATTGTGAGGTTAAAACATTTCAACTCTTTAAACAATGGAGTAGCATCCCCTTCTAGATACAAGATCAATGTCTGATTATTGCTGTCTTTTTCTGATGTTAACAGTTGTTGAAGTTTAATGCCTAGGTTCGTTTATTTATTGGGAGTTGCAAAATAATGATATTCAAATTATATACTTTTTTCCTTATTTATTAGTTGACATATATTTATAAAGAGATGCTTCCTCTCACCTACCATGTTGTTACCCAGTGGTATAGTTCATATAGGAAAGGCAGGATAAATGCTCAATTCTTTCTCCTTATTTGCAGTGTTCAA